GCAGGTGCTGGGGCTGGGTGCGGGCCCCCCGGGCACCGGCCCCTGCCCCCCGGTGCGTCCTGAAACGAACGGGCCTGCAAAGGTGTCGGCGTAGCCCGAGCGTATGCTTTCGGCTCTGAATTGCCTCAGAGGAGATTTGTAGGCAGTCATAGAAGTGCACGTACATTTGTCTTATTTATAGAAACTAATCTGGAGAGTTAACGCACTCTATATGGATATGCGCACGCCTGTATATACGTACCCATGCATAGCCTCTATATACATGCATCTAAAAGCAATTTAGACCAAACGTGTGTATATACATATGGATGTGTGTATGTATACATATTTTAACAAAATATTTTTTATACATGTACGTACATATATATGTATGTATCTGTACATATATGTGTTGCCATTACCAAATACAGGAAAGGTGCTTCCACCGAATATATGAAAGACAACATTCTGTTCCTGCTAATTAAGAGTTAAATTCTGTTCATTTAGAGAGTTAAAAGAACACACTCTGTGTACATATATAGGTATGTAGGATCATATATCTGTATATACGTACGACACAATAGATGTTATATAATATAGGTTGTATAATACATGATATATAATTACATAGTATGTAATACAACATAGAATATATTTAATATATAAAATAGTATATAATATATGAATACATATTATCTATATGTTGCCCCCAATCAAACATGTGATAGGCCCAATCCTGTTAATTAAAAGATTTGCATTCTGTCAATTCAGAGTTAAAAGAACACACTGTATAAACATATATGAGTCTTCATACATATATTGTCATATATGTGTCTATAAATATATAGCTAATAATGTATTTACGTGTGTGTGTATGTGTGTGTGTGAGTGTGCGTTGCCAATATCGAACGTGTGACTGATTGGCAAAATCCTGTTCCTGAAGGGACTGGGAGTTCGCCATGAGCTTCAGCACGGCCGGAATTCCGTCAGATACTGCTGAGCACTGGCTTTCTGTCCTTCTGAAAGAATGGCATCTCAGCCACGATGTGCTCATGACTTCACCACCTGTGAGTAAGACAGTATTCCAAAGCTCAAACTGATAAAATCTGTATAGAACACCGTTCTGCGTGCCATTATAGCAAAGCATGTCTGCCTGGACTTCCAATAAAACAAAAGCAGGTAGTAAGTGTGCTCCTTCTTTTCCCCAAATGGCAAAAAGTAACCAGTGGCTACCATTTCTGTAGGGAGTTAAAGTTAAAGCTCAGAATCAATTAGCTGAATATCTGTAGCTGTCATTTACCCCCAGAACCTGAAAACAAGGCACTAAGCCTATGGTTTTAAAGAAAAAATTTTAAAACATGACACTAATAAAAGGTTTTTCTTTATTTTATCTACAAGGCAGCCAGGAGAACACGTTTGAATATCAAACCACTGAATGCACCATCTAACCCTCTAGCTGCATGTGATATCTTCGTAGGTCTTTTTACTTGTTATATTAGATTATCTGAAATAAAAGAAACAGATACATATTGCCACTTCTGAGAACATTTCCTTTTTATGGGAAAAAAAACAAAAAACAAAAAGAAAATGCTCCATCATTCCTGAATCTCCTGGTCCCTGTCAAAAGACCATCCATAAGAAGAGAAGTCTAACCCTCGGGTGAAGGAGGTAGCATTCTGTCTCACATGCAAATCAGACTGTAAGTCAGAAATTTAATTCAGTCTAAAATCATAAGGTCTGTAATTGTACTTGCATGTCTCATTTGATGACCTTTCCTGCAGATGAAGAAAGCCTTTCTGAAAAATACGGTTATGAAAGTGTCAATACCTGCTCTCCTAAGAGCAGCGTTACCGAGCCTCTCGAGGTATCTGACCTGTGCCTTCAGGATATTGCACTGGACTGAGAATTACCTTCAGTAAAGTCAATGAAAAAGCATTGGCAAGAGCAAGCTGGCCCAGGCTATTGGAAGCATGGTTATTTATGTACTGTCCCATCGACCCTTTTCTCTAATATCACCTCATAATCCCCCTCTATGCTGCAATTCATATTCAGTAGTGTACAGCAGAAATATGCTGTCGAGCAGGGAACCAGACCGTACGATAGCCCCGCAGGCGTTTGGAAATTGTGAACGACTGGCTGAGGATTTTCAGTTTGGCACAAGAGGGGAAGGAAGACTTTGGGTGGGAAAGTGCTGAGGCATGAGAAGGTGAAGGAAGGTGCCTTCTCATGGAAAATGTTCTTCATTGCTGCCCTTTTCTTTACAGGCAGTGAGGGATGACAGCCCCCTGCTGCAGACTGGCAGAGACAGAGCGATGCTTGGGCACCCAGGTCATGCCTTTACAGTCACAAACTTTCTCCCAGACAGGAATATGGACCCTTCCTTGGGGCACGATCCACATATTTGCCTTTATTTGTCCTCTTTCTTAGCTTCTCTCCAAAAATAGTAGGGCACACACAACAGAAATCCTTCCAGCTCTGACACTGCTGTGGGTCTGGGTACTAGGCTGATTTTTTTTTTAATATTATGAAAATGAGGGAAAGACGTCATTAATCCTGAGGCTGGTAACTTGTATGCCAGTAATAAAAATGGAAAGAATACATTGACACAGACCCCAAAAAACTGGGAGAGCTAAGAAAACTGGAGCTGACATTAATTACTAGAGTCGATACTGTCTATTGTTACACCAAAATAATCTATTTTATGGATGGATTGCATAGATGAGAATATCCAACATTTGGATAGGAATTGCCTTTACAGGATAGCATGATACAGCAGTGGACTGTATTTGACTTTGGATCTTGTTGCAATAGATGCAGTGAAGCTCAGTACGGTATAAAATGCTGAAGGTCTTGAGGAGTTTCTCTCAGTATTTGCAGCACATGCTGCTTTTCATTGCCACCAGCCCTGTGCAGCTGGTCCCACAGATGCTGAAGGGCTTCACCACCAGTGGAAGGTCTTGAAATCCAGGCAGAGGTTTGCCTGAGACAGCAGAGTGGGGTTTGATACTCCCATTATCTCTGCTTCAGCCAGGCTGTATGAGACAGAAGCAACAGCTTCGCTCCCCACCACCACTGCTCCCACTGCGCCCAGCCCTGCTGGTATCTGCACAATAAGCAGCTCCTCCCAAGGGCATGGCCGGGGACATGGCCATATGGATAAAAATATTGCTGAGTCTCAAAGCTGCCCAGGGAGAGGAGGGAGGGGGGGTCCCCTCAGCCAGGGGGAGCGATAGAGGAGACGTGAAGGTGTGTCCCTGGCGCCGCGGTGTCTCGTCATGGCTCTGCCCCTGACAGCTCAATGCATCTGCTCCCACTTCAGAACAATTTTCTGTTGGGTCACTCCGCACCATTTCAATGACAGCACAAACAGAAAGCACGTACGCTGCACTTGCCTGATTGCAACTGATCCATAGAGGACCTTCCCGCAATGCCCCCGCCAATGCCTCGTTGCCCGCGCTGTGCCGTGCCATCTGCACCCGGGTGTACTTTCATCTCTTTAATTCTGCTCACAGGCATTGTCTGTTTTACCAGATACAGTGCTAACAGCATTTCACGTGACAAAGTGCATGCTATTTTATACATCAAGATGGTAACTCACATAATTCGGTTTGTTTACCTTTTAATCCATTTATTGATTACTACTGGAAATTACTACCAGAGCAAGGAACTGCTCAGGCTACCCACAGTGTGCTGTTTGGGAAAGAGGCATTGGTAGTCACACGACACAGACTTGCAAGACTTCAGGTGGTTGATACAGGTGTTATAACATTTTAGTTTTACTTTTGCTGTAGTAGACATTGGGACTTTTTCATTGTAGGCACAGCCTTGAGTTACAGGGTTGTACGTCATCCATTAATATTAATCTAGCTTTATATATATAGTAGGAAAAGATCTATCTTTATTGCCTTTATCGAAACTCTGCTTTCGCAATGAAAAAAAAATATGCTTGATTTGAACAAGTGAGAATTTTCACTGTGTCGTAAATTTAGCTCAGTTTTTAGGGATTCCCTAAAAATCATGGGGTCATATTTTCATACTTAATTTTCTGACCTCTCTTTGATATCAAGGAAGCTTTTCTGGAAAATGTCACTGTGATTATTTCAACAACTGGATCTCCTATGAGCAATGTTATAGGTGTTCTCTAGTAAATGTGATCAAAAAATCAAAATGGTTGGGGGAAAAATCATAAATATATTAATAAATATCAGTCCATAATTTTCATTGCTGTTTTAGTTTGACAGACATTTTCAGCAGATAAAAAAAAATGCTATAGTCTACTGCTGATATTTTATTTGGATGGAAATTAACTCTGTGCAGAGGAGCTTTT